GGTCGCCTTTTTTTTTGGGGGGGGGGGTGGGGAGGGAAGGAGAGTGTAGGGCATGAGGGGGGGGGAGGGCAGGATCGAGGGGGGGCAAGGAGAGCGCAGGAGGGAGGGGCGGGCAGGAGGGGGGGGCATGCGCGAGGGAGGGCAGGAGTGGAGGGCAAGAAGGAGGGAGACTACGAGGGAGGGAGGGCAGGAGGGGGGCGAGGGGGCGGGGCGAGGGCGTGACCCAGCACCTGCCCGCCGGGGAGGAGACCGCCCAGCCCGCCCCCACCGACGAGCATGCCGCCGTTGGCCGCGCCGACGCTAGCCACTGCGGCAGCCCTGGCGGCGGCGGCGGCGGCGGCGTCGGTGGCAGCGGCGGAGGGCGGCGCACCCCGCCGCGGCTCTTGCCGGCCCCGCGCCTAGAGTGCACGCAGCCAGCCGGAGGGAGTCGGATACCGGACGGCGGATACCGCGCCCCCGTGCGCCTCGCGGGGGGGATACGGGAGCCACGAGTGCGGCGGTGGAGGCGGTGGGTGCGGCTGAACTGCGTGCCGTCTCGAGCGCTTGCTACGGGACAGGGGAGTGTGGTCGTCCGCACCTGCCACCCTCCTCGCGCCTTTGCGGGGGCGCCCCCTCGAGCGTCCGCCCCAGACAAGCGGCGGGTGGCCTCGACCTGCACCGGGAGCAGGCCGCTGTCAGGGGCGAGGGACACGGCCTCGTGCGGACCCTTGCGGACCCTTGCGTGGGTGCGAAGGGCTGGCGGGCCTCTCCTCGAGTGCCGCCTCGAGCACCAGAACCTGTGTCGCGCATCTAGACGCGTCCGCCTCTGACGGCGTGCGGAAGACGCGCGGCGCACCGGGCGGCGGCGGCGGCACGGGGGGCAGGAGGCGGCGCTGCGGCGGCGCGGTGCAGAAGAAGCCGAGCTGACGCACCATGTGGAGCGCCAGCCGCTCGACTGCCGCGAGCACGTCCGACCCCTTGCGCTTCGACTCCTTCTTGAAGTCGAAAGGGACGTACCTGGCAGCGACGAAGAGAAGGAGGGGGAGGGGGTGAGCGTGCAGCCTCCTGCAGTGTGTGCCGAGCGCCGCGTGAAGTGCGAGCGGCCAGCATGCAGCGCCCGTGTTGAGTGCCTGTGCAAGTCGGGCATCTACTCGAGGATACCGCAGCCCGCCGTCACGCTGTGGGTGGCGCTCGCGCCGCAGCCGCGCCTGCAGCGCATCGACCGCCTCGGCGAGCCTACGCTGGGAGGAGCGCCGGGCTCGGCAGGGGTGGGAGGACAAGCAGCGTGCCGTGTCTTCCGAGGATCGCGTGAATGCACGGGCTCTGAGTAGAGCCGGGTGCGGCTGAAGAGAGCGCGAGTCGGGGTCTGTACTCCGCCATCTATGCTCGCGAGCCCGCGCCCGAGCAGCGTCTCGCGAGGCCGCTTCTCGGCCTGCCGCACGAGGTCAAAGAGGACGAGAGGGCCGCCGTACCTGTCCACATCGGGCGGCGTGAACTGGCGCCGTCCACGGCGGGTCAAAGGGCAGAGAGGGCCCGCCGCACCGCCCCCACAGCTCCTCGAGGTGTCGGAGGGTGTAGCTGTAGCTCGGGTCGATGCTCTGGACGCAGATGTCGGGCCGAGGGATCATGTGCCTCCCCTCCTCGCCGTGCCCCCACACCAGCGGCACCGAGCCACGCAGCTGCACGAACGAGGCGAGCCGGCCTGCGTGCAGGGCCTGCAGCGGGGAGCGAAGGGGGAAGGGTCGTCTCGAGGGAATGCCCTCCGCCTGCAGGAGGGCAGGCGCACGGGCGCAAGGCGCAGGGCAAGGTCGCAAGGTCGCAGGGTCGCAGGGTCGCAGGGTCGCAGGGCAGGGTCGCAAGGTGCAGGGCAGGCACGTCGCTGCGCGGGTGCGCACACAGCAGTCGCAGGCGCGGGGCAGAGGGTGGGGAGCCCGGCTCCTCGGGGGGGGGGGGGAGAGGCCGGCGCGCAAGGCCGTCAGGAGTCAGGAGCACACCACGGGGAGCACACCAGAGGTGGGTGTGCGTGTGAGGGCGGTGGCGCGCAGTGTCGCGTGAGCGCGAGGGCTGCTGGTGCGAACTTCCGGGCGGGAGTACGGCTCTCGGCTGTCGCCGAGCCGAGGGTGTCTGCCTGAGGGCGAGCGCCTTCTCGACGCTGGGTGCGACACGGTGCGATGCAGGGGGGTGCTGCGTTTCGGCATCTGGCGTGCAGCGCCCCGCAGGAGCCGTCTGCTACGACCTGCTCCGTCTCCACCTCGTTGGCGACGTGACCGGCGGCGCAGAGGCCGCGCTTGAGCAAGCGCGCGCCCGCGAAGAGGCGCGAGCGGCGCGCGAGCAGCGTGAGGGTGATCAGGCGGCCGCAGAGAGCGAGCGAGCACTGGCGGAAGAAGCCGTGCACCAACGGCACAAGCCAGCTGCCGTCGCGCAGCTTCGGGAGCACGGGCAACATCAGGTAGTGCGACCAGACAAACTTGTCGCGCAGCCCCGCCTCGCCGCCGCCGGCCGCCGCGGCGTCGGCGCCGCCGCCTCCGCCCCTGCCGCCCTCGCGACTGCAGGGGCTCCCCTTGGCACCGCCGCCGGCGCCCGCATTCTCCTGCAGCGTGCGCGAGGGGTCATAGGTCCGTGTGACACACTTCCTAGCACGGGCGACGGGGCACACACGGGGGCATTGCACACGCGGCGTTGTGTGCGTTCTCGGGGGAAAGGCATGCCCACAGACATGCGTGCAACAGTCGGAGGGGCAGCGGTGGGGCACTCTCTTGCAGCGTGCGCGAGAGGTCGTAGGTGTACGAAAAGTAAAAGTCGCGTGTCAGGTCCATCGCGAGAAAGAGGGAGCGGTAGCGCCGCTCCGCCCACCCCTCGTCCCACGACTCCCCCCACCGCCCCGAAAAGTGCCGCCCGCCGAGCCGCAGCTGCGTCAGCACACCCAGCACCTGCGTCGCGGAGCGCAGTGTTCGGCGCGCGGCGCGAGTGCAAGGGCCAGGGCGTGCACACGGTGGGATGTCGCCGAGTTGTGTCCTCTCGAGCGCGAGTTGGGATACCGTCTGGGAGGCGCATTCCGCATCTAGGACCCCAGCGCCGTCTGGGCGACCGACGTCTGCAGCGAGCGGTCGAGTGCGAGCGCGCTGCGGCTGCGGCCGGGCGGCGGCGGGGCGGCGGACGCGGCGGACGCGCCGCCGGCCGCCGCGCCACGCCCAGCAGAGGGCGCACTCGGCTCGGGAGAGGTCGGCGAGAGTGGCGGCGAGTGGGTGCTCGACGAGGCTGCGGCGGCGGCGCGCCGCGTTGGAGCGGCAGAGCTCGACGGCGCGCGAGGCGCACTGCCGACACGGCTGGCTGTGCTGAAGCCGCCCGGCCGCAGCGAGATCATCGCCGTCTCCTCCGCCCGGAAGATGGTGTGACCGGCGAGGATCCCGACCGGCTCGCGCCGCGTGACAAAGAGCAGGTAGTAGGCGTCGAGGAAGCGGACGGCGCCGAGCAGCGCCACCGCCTCAAAGGCGAGCACGAGAGGCGAGCCGCCGCCGGTGGCGGCGGCGCCGCCGGCGCCGCCTGCCCCGCCGGACAGCTCGGCGAGCCGCGCGATCGCCGCGGCGTGCGAGGCGAACTCTGTCGGATCCTCGGTCAGCGGCAGATGGTCGCCTTCGGCGCGCGTGCGGTCGATCGTCACAATGCGCCAGCGGCCGGTGCGGCGCCGGTGTCCGAGCAGGACGAGGTGCTGCGGAGACTCGTAGACCTGGAGTCGGTCGACGCGGGGTTTCATCATCCCTTGGGCCTTGCGTCCAAGCGGGCCGCCATTTTCCGAAAAAGAATTTCCGGCGGCAATTTTCGCGCTTTTCGCGCTTGGCGACAATCGTCCTTCCAAAATCCTGCTCGTGCAGGTGTGGACCCTGTCCTCCTCCCCTATCCCTCGTTCCTCTTTTCTTTCTTTTTTCCTGGCGACAAGAGAGAGAACGACGAGAGTGGGACGACCGCGAGGTGGCACATGAAGCTTGAAGGTTGCAGCGAGAATCGGCGAGAGACTGCGAAGAGAAGGAAGAGGCGGACGCCCAAGGGTGGGCGACGGCTAGCGCATCACACCCCTCTCCTTAAAATCCCTGTGTGGTGGCGGCGTGCCGTCCTCCCATCCGTCCCTTGGGTACTCTGTTTTCTTTCTTTCTTTTTCCCTCCTCGCGGCTCCCATCCCTCCCTTGGGTTGTCTGTTTTCTTTCTTTCTTTCTCCCTCCTCGCCCTCCGCCCGCCCTTGCCTCCGCCCAACCCGGCCTCGCCCTCTGCCCAGCCCTTCCCCTTTGCCCACCCTACGCCGCCGCCCGCTCAGCCCCTCAGCCCTCCGCCCTCGCCCTCCGCCCTCCGCCCTCGCCATCCACCCACCCTTGCCCTGGCCGGCCTGGGGGCATCTCCTCATCATCACCGCCAAGTGGGAAGGAAGTGGACGGGGCCCTGAGCCGACCTAGCTGCCCTACTGAATGGAGCGCCCAACACATGTGCCCGGATTACCATGTGCTGTCCCTCCGGGCCGGGCGCGGCCTGCCTTTCGGTTCGTGAAGGGTCGGTGCGTGTCGTGCCCCCCTCGGCCTTGGAGCTTGGTGAGCAGTCACACCCGTGCTCCCCGCCATCTCCATCGCCTCGTCTGCGAATTCTTATCAATCAGCCACGAGAGGAGAGCGTGCGTGGCCGAGGGCTGCATAGACTCGATCGCAAGATCCCAGAAAGGCACCTCTGCCTCTGGACAGGGTGGCCCGCCCTAATCGACCCCTGTTAAGTGACTCGTTCGCTTTCCACCCACTGAGCACTGTGATTTGCAGTGTATGTGGCTCTTACGTAATTCCCCCGTATTTTGTGTGAGCGCTGTGTCTCGCTAGAAAGAAAGAAATTAGGAGGATTGGAGGACGTTATGTGTCTTGCTTTGGGCCCCAACAACAAACCTACAAACCTGGTGAGGGATGGCGAGACGATCGAGGGGTCCGGTACCACGCGGAATCGACCCTTCCAGGTGCTCAAGTGCTCAAGTGAGAGGTTTACCCCCCCCCCTCTCTATCTCTCTTCGCAGGCGAGGAAAGCACAACTCAAAGGATGGGCTTGCCCATCCCGGAGTGGTTCGAACCCACACAAACCCGGAAGGTGACGGCCCTATCAAGTGCTCAAGTGCTCAAGAGGTGCCTATACTTCACGCTGGCGCTAGCAAGCGTGCGTCCCTCTGCTCACTCACGCCTCCGGCTCGTTCTTCTCGTGTGTATCGCGCGCCTTGCGGCGAGGGAGCGGAAGTAGGCACCTCTCAGCGCCGTCGCCTGGCGAAGGCCGATGCGCTCGACAGGCCCTCGAGTTGCGCCGGGCGAAAAGAGCCGGCGCAGCTCACTCCCCATCGAGGCGCACTCTGAGCACTCGATGGGCGACGAGGGAGTTGGAGACGAGGAGAAGCAGCAGCCAAAGGACGCTGTGGACCTTGCCTCGGACCCTGCCAAGGCGCGTCCTCCGACAGCTTCATTCCTTGCCTGCGTTGCCTACGTCCTGTGCACGGTGAGCGCATTCACGATTTGCATCCCGACCTCGACGCGATATGTCAACAGTCTCGGCGGCGTCTCGAGCGTGGCGGGCGTCCTCGTCGGCCTCACTCCGATTGCGTCTGGTCTCTTCCAGCCCCTCGCCGTGCCGCTGCTGTGCCGAGTCCCGCTCAAGACGGTGCTGATCGCCTTCTGCGGCGTCAACATGGTCGGAAACATCGCGTACGGGCTCGGGGGCTACAGCGGCTGGTCCGGCACGGTCTTCATCGCCCGTGCCGTTCTTGGCCTCGTGGGTGGTCCGACGTACGCCTCTACGTACGTGGCGCGGACGACCGGCGTCAAGACGCGCTCGCTTTACATGCAGTATGTTGGAGTGGTCGTCGGCTGCGGGTATGGACTTGGGCCGCTGCTCGCAACGCTTGTGGAGGCCACGTGCTCCGCCGCGGGCTTGGACGGAGTGCTACTCAACGCAAACACCGCTCCCGGATGGGCGATGGCGCTAATCTTTGCGTTCGAGGCCGCGTTCCTCGCTTGCTACATGGTGGAGCCCCCTCGATTTGCCGCGACGAAGCCGGTGGTGGGCAAGGAGAGCAGCGCCGTGCCGCCGATGCCGTGGGCGCGCCTCGTAGCGGTGTGGATCGTCGTCTTTGTCACGCCCATCAATGTTGGGTGCTGGGATGTCCATACCGCCTTCCTCGCCGAGCAAGAGTGGGGCATGACGGTCGTCCATGCAGGGCTCTACCTCGGCGGCCTGAACCTGCTCGCCGTGCCCTTCGGCTTCATCCCGGTCGCGGCCTGCTTCACGGATCGGCAGGGCCTCGCCGTCTTTGGGGCGATGATTCTCGCAGCGGACGCCTTCTTTTGGCCGCACGATAGCGGCCTCGCGACCAAAGCATCTGTCTATGGCGTGGGCTCGGTGCTACTGCTCATCGCGGCCGCCTTCCTCAAAGCCTTCGGATGGGGCCTCGTGAGCAAGCTGCCGCCGCCGCAGCGACGACAGCTCGCGATCTCTCTGAATTCGACCATCTATATGTGGGGGCGGGGGCTCGGCGCCGTCGTGGCCGGGTACGTGACGCCGGGCTCGGCCTTTGCGACGTTCCTTGCGGCAGTGAACGCCGCGGCCCTGTTTTACACCGGGACTGTGTGGTCAGCGCTGCAGGTGCCGTCATGAGAAATCTGTTTTGTTTGTCCCCGAAGTTTC